TATGTAATCAAATCTAAGTACTCGAGGACCTGAAAGGTACAGGGCAGTGACAGGGGAGCCGGCTGGCAGGAGCCTGGAACTGCACAGGGCTGGGCCCAGGCAGCAGCACAGGGCGTGGGCACTGTCCCAGGCAGCTGTGGCTATGCAAGGGGACAGGGCTGGCAGGCAGCTCAGCGAGGTAGTGCTGGCCATGGGGCTCACCTCCACAAGGAATGCCAGGAAGGACAGATCCCAGTGTGTCTCCTCCCTTCTGAGTGCCTTGAGCAGGTGGAGTGCAATATGGGAACAGAAGGGGATCAAGCCACGGCGTATCTCCCTGTCAGGGGGAAAATGGCACCAAGGCCCTGATGTGTGTGGGGGCAAACCTCTCCCAGGGATGACTCATGGAGATCTGGCCTTTCCCCAGCATCCCTGGGGGGACCATGGGTGCTTTGGGACCATGGGGCTCCTTCTGGGCACCCTCCTCTCAGACTTCTCTAGTCTGCTCAGCCATCCCTCAATGGCAAAGCCCTCTGGCCAGGACCACAGGGACTGTGGTAGGGCACCCTGGGCACAGGGCACACATTTCAGAGGCAGTGGCGAGAAGGGGTCTCACCTGGCCAACAGACCCACGGCATAGTGCTGGGTGTCAGCACGGAGCAGCGTTTCCCAGCCACACTTGCGTCCCATTTCCATGACCACATTGTCACACCGCAGTCGGCAGAACAGAGATTTCATGGCCTGCACTGCAAACCTGTGTGCAGAGCAAAGGCCAGGTCACACTGGGTGCACTGGTGTCAGCCACAAGGGCATGGGAAGGACAGGAGGACTGGCACCTGTTGGGGTTGCTGGGAAGGTGGTGTTCCTCCTGGCATGCTCTCCAGAAGCTGTCAAATTCCTCTGGTGGCATCAGCTGTGTGGTGATGACAACTTGGAACAGCAGAGCCACAAAAATGCGAGGGGTATAAATGAGCATCGCCTCATGGCACTGAGGCATCTGGACCGTCACCCAGAGCACCAGAGTTGCCTGCAAAAGAATCACACCAAGACAGCGCTCAGTGCCGAGGTGTCCGTGGGGCAGGGCCCGAGGGGAGATGCAGAGGGAGCAGTGGGCCCGGTGCCCCCTGAGCCTGCCCCTAGCCCAGGTTTCAGCCCGGTGCCTGAGGCAGGGAGAGGATGGAGAGTTCCTGGGGCTGAGCAAAGGCACAGAAACTCACAGCTAGGGAAAAGACAGCCTTGTTGTCCCCATCAGAGGTGGAGATGCTGCAAAGTGGCCAGTTCTCCATCACACAGAGCAGTGTTGGCAGCACTTTCTCAACTGCTGGTCCTGATGAGGCTATGGTTTGCCACATCATTGTGGCAGCTCTGTGGGATCAGAGCTCTGTGTCAGGGGTGTCTCAGTCACAGAGCCATGCCCTGTGTAGCTGTGGGGTCCCAGGTGACAGAGCCCCAGTGCCCTGAGGGGCAGGGAGGGAGCACTGGCAGCAGCCTCAGGAAACAGAGGGGCCCGAGGCTCCTGGACCTCTCTGCCTGTTGGGCAGAGCCCATTGGACAGGCTGTGCAGGGCGATGGGCCCTAAAGGCCGCTGAGCCCTGAGCTCTCAAGGCACGTGGGCCCCATACCTGTCACACGATGGGGCACAGCACAGGAGGGTCAGCACCACATCAATAGGGTCTTCTTCAGCCAGCCTCACTATGTCAGTTTGCTGACTGGCATCCACAGGGACATAGGACACCAGACTCTGGTAAATGTTCCTCACAATAGCTGGCACCTGGAGGAGGCATGGGGAAGACTTGGAGCGCTGTCCAAGGCAGCAACTTCCCCAGCTTCTCCCAAGAAGTGCTTACTGTCCCATCACACTCTGCTGGCCTCAAAGGCTGAGGGGGCCCAGTGGCTGTGGCTTGACAGGCCACATGATCCTGGGAGGTCTCCAGCCCAGGCCACAGGCTGCTTACCTGCTGCTGAAAAGAAAAATCTCTCTCCTCAAAAAAATCCATAGTGGGAGCATGAATTACAGTAGGATTGGGTGTGACGGCAGTGTTTGTGAGGCTCTGAGGCATTCTGGTGTTAGTGTTTGTAATAGCCATGCCCTCAGTCATGTAAGCCTTTGTCTTGTGATCATTCATTGCAGTGTCAAAGATGTCTGAACATGCAGTTAAATATGGGCTGACAACAGGCTCAGCCTGGAACTTGGCTAGCCCAGAGTCAGGCTCAGCTGTGCCCTCAGTTCCTAGGGGGCTGATCTTTCTATGCCGACTTGCACATGAATTTTCTTTCTATGCCGACTTGGCAGGAACTGGCGGAACCTCTGTGCAGAATGAAGAAAGGACAGGGAAGAGAGGCATGTTCCATGGAGTGCTGCAAGTGCAGAGCTGGCCTGAGCAGTGACAGCAGGCCCAGCCCAGGTGGGGATGGCTGCAGGTACCTTCAGCGTTTTGCGGAAGCGGCCATGGGCAGGCTCCTGCTCTTGTCTCTTGTCCATGGCTGCATCTGGAAAAGAGCAGCCAGAGCTGAGGGACTGCGGGAGAGGCCGGAGAACACAGCCCAGCCTTGCACTCCCCAGGCAGGGACAGCCCTGGGGTGGCTCAGGGGATGGAGCACGGTCACTGGCGGGGGTCAGCCCCAGCCCCTCTTCTCTCCTGTCCTTGGGCATGTCCACATGGGATGGGATGGGATGGGATGGGACGGGATGGTGCAGGGCCCAGCTGGCTGCAGCTTCAGCCCTGCGGCCCAGCTCTGCCACTCACCATCCTGCCCTTGCTGGAACTGCTCCGGCTCTTCAGGGTGTTCTGCTGGGGCAGCTCCACGGTCTGTGCTTCTATTCCGTCGGAACACCCTGAATAGCCTGAAGAATCTGCCCGCCATGACAAAATCGGGCCTTGGGAGCACCTTCTAAAGAGATGTTATCGGGAAGCTCCGGCTCACCAATTCCCACAGTCTGCTCACAATGTGAGCTGTAGGAATTACGCCTTGGAAAAGCTCCGGGTCAGGCACTAACGAGTGGGCTGTGTGGGGGCTCCTCACAGCACCGCTCTGGCGTGTCCTGTCCCGTCGCATGCACCAGGCACACTGGTGTGGTCTTGTCACCGCCAGCTCTTGTCCATTCCACCGTTCCATTCCACGGTTACCAGGCTGCACCGTGTCACTAACGGCCCTTGCACGCCCTGCCACCTTCCTGGTTCTGCCCCATCCCCCCAGCGTGGCCTACGTTGGAAGGAATCCCTTGCCCAAAGTGTCTAAGACAGGATCTTTAGGAACACCTCAAACCATCAGCAAACACTGCCCTGCTCTGCAGGCTCAGGGCAGCAGAAGGAGCCCCCAGGGCTGCCGACGCAGGCGCAGCAGGAAGGGCACGGGGCCTTGCACAGAATCTGTACAGGGGCCTGGCAGCACTGAAATCAGCAGGTGTGGCAGAGTCCCCACCGAGGCAGACCTGCCACCCCAGCCAAGCCCTGGCAGTGCTGGTGCCCTTCTCCTGCCCCAGAGACCTGTGCCCCTGGGGGGTTTCTGTGCCAGAGGGCCAAAGCCAAAGCCCACGTGCATTGGGGGCTGGGCTCCTTCCTGTAGGGGTCTTGGCAGGAGCTCCTGGAGCTATTGCTGGCCACTCTTGCTATCTGTCAGATGATGTTGCTCCTTCCTGGAATGATGTTTTTCATGGAAGGGGTTTGCAGTAGCACAAATGTTCAAGGCCCCAGTTGCTGCTTGTCTGTCTGTGTTACAGCTGATGCAAGTCAAACATTTCCTCCAGACATAGAATCCTGCTTGAACAGTCACAGAGCTACATCTATTTTTACATTATGTTTGTAATTTTAATATTTTTTAAGTTTTCCAGAGCCTGCTGACTGTTTTCAAGGTTTTCTCTCTATCCCCAGTGCACATTCTCCAGAAATTGTGCTTTCACATCCTTTTGCATTTATTAAAGTTACCTGCAGTGACCAGTCAATCAAAGCCCTGGGAAAACTTTAAACTTCAGGTTGAACCCAGACAAAATATTTATCTCCCACAACTGAAGCCATGAATTGCCAAGTACTGTCCCCAGTACACCTGTAGGTGTGCTGATGCCATTTCAAAGGGGTTGCCAATGAAAACAAATTTTAATATTTTTGTAGTTTCCACATTGGAGTTAAAACCCCTGACTTGAAAAATCACATGTCAAAATTTTTAGGACTCTTACAAACCAAAGCTGTCATTTTCACCCTGCATTTTAGAGTCTCTGAACCGTCACACAAGGTTTTAGTTCTACACTAGTTTACACACTACAGAAAAAGTCCTTGGTGTTCGGCTATAACTTTACATCAGCATATATTCCTGATGATTATTTTAGGCAGGAGCAGCAAACTCAAGAATGAGCCAAACAGGCTGTTCCTGTGTTCTCATGTCCTGAGTCTCTCTCTCTCTCTCCGTGTCACTATGGCACCAAGGCCGCTGCCTTGGTTCACCGGAGTGTGGAAGGCGAGCCCGCCCTCAAGCACGGCCATCCAAGTCAGTCACGGGCACAGGCTGCAGCTGAAGCTGCCAAGCGTTGCTGTGAGGCTGGCAAGTCAAGAGAAAGCCATTGTGGCCAATTCTGCTGAGGCCTTTTGCCAAACCAAAGGCAGCTGTGCCCACAGCCTCCCCCTGTCTGGCAGCCGGCTGCTGCGGACGCCTCAGTTCGCAGGTGCCGACGCTGGGGCTGCTGCTGTTCCTGTGCACACTCTGCTGCTGTTTCTGTGGGCTCCAGAGCCGCTTGGGCAGCAGCCACTGGGCAGCCCTGCTGGAGGAGACACCGCCGCCCTCCCCATGGTGGCAGCAGCTCTGCGGGCCCCGAGCTCTGTGTCAGGGGGGCCTCGGTCACAGCAGCGTGGCCTGGGCAGCCGCGAGGGCCCGGCCTGGCCGCCAGCCCTGCCTCTGCCCACTGCCCCTTATGGCAGGCACCCAGTGGCCGTGGCCTGGCAGCACCCCCTGCCCTCCATGTCCCCAGCCAGCAAAACCTGAGCACACCTCGGGCTGACCCCACCCTCCTGGAGGTGTACTGTCCCAGCCCCAAGGGCTTCTGCTGCAGGCCTGGCAGACATTTTGGGGAAGCGCCAGAACAGCCGGGTGTCAGGAACCAGGCGGCTGCCCGGGGGCTGCTTATGGCCTCTGACACCCAGTTCCTCAGCTCTTCCCACCACCCC